AATTTACAGAGAAGGGTACATATAAAATTTATTTTACATCCCTGGCTGGGCGTTTAATTAATTAATAAAGATCACTCTTAAAATAAAAATCGCATTCCAACCCTTCAATCACCGATAGACGATTGAATCAAAAATCATTCCATCCCTAGTCCGCATCTCATTGTTCTGACTGGGGGCTATGCACAAGATGGCTGTCACCAGGGGAGAGCAGCGGAAGAGCAGACAGAAGTTGTGCAATTTTTTGTCACTCAGCAGGGGGAACAAGGCATACGACTCAAAAGTATAAACCAGGCTTAAATCAGTAAGTATGTACCAATGGCTGAATCTGAGTGGATCAGGCCAACACCCGCTGCCTTCAAAGCTGAGGTAACTGTCCCATATTAGCCAGAATGTCCCGTAATTTAAGCCAAATAGAAGTGTTCCGTATGGGACCGTCTTTGTTCTGACTGCAGTCAGCTATCACAAAATCTGGCAATATATTTCAAAAAATTACAGTATATGTTATCGTGACCCCTGTGTATCACCAAATACAYAGCCCTAGAGCATGGCTCAACTGCTCTGTCACTGGAATCTCTTTAAAGTAATCACATTCCATCACATTCCCATAGTGAAACATCTCACTGTGTTTTCTAAGAACCAGGGTGTATGTTAAACAAATTAATGTTTTTCTGGGAATGTCACCTAATCTGTGTTGTGTTTTTGATGCACTGTGAATAGGAATGTTCAGGGCCTAATAAAAATCACTGGACGACTGCTGCAGATGCAGGCTGACCAAAGACAAGAGGAGACACACTTCACCTGTCCATATTCTATCAGGTCAGTTCATCTTCAGCTGCACCTCTGAGATGTTATTATTAACTACTGCTAAATCACAGGCAGAGCCACAGAAGCATCACATCTTTAATTAAAGATAAGGTTCCTTATATGTCTTTGGTGTCTTTAGCTCTGTATATGATTAGAATCTATACCCACTTTTTTCAGTTTGATTCTTTTACTTTAAATTTGATTAGTTTTTTTCCATTTCAGAATGTGCAAACTCAACATTTCTACTTATTTCTGTTTCTGTATATATATATAAAAAAAATAAAAATTCCCTTCTCACCCTCCGCGGGTGGTCTCTTTCATCCTCTGAGCTCGGGTCCTCTACCAGAGGCCTGGGAGCTTGAGGGTTCTGCGCAGTATCTTAGCTGTGCCTAGAACTGCACATTTCTGGACTGAGATG